CTCTTACTTGAGTAAAATTTCAGTATTTTCTGCCCATTGAGTGAAAAACAAACATGTTATAACCAAAAATTCACCAGACACAGGCACATACCTGCAGTTATGTCAGTTTCATAAGTTTTTTTTTTATTGAAAGAAAGTGATTTGTAAAATTTTTTCTTTTTTGCCACTTATATAAATTATTGTCATTTTGGTTGTCAAAATACCAAAATTTCCAGTTAACTTTATATTTTTGTCCATCTGATTAAATTAAATTATTGATAATTTAATCAGTTACTGAGTACATGAGTAGACTTTTTACCAAATACTTTTTTACTCTTACTTGGATGGGTAATTTTTTACTTTTATTTTAGTAAAATATGTTGTAGTGCTCTATTCAGAAGTGAATAATACAATTTTTGGGTACTCTATTCACTTCTGATGATTTACTAGAGGAAAGGACAAGTCTGTTAGTAACATTTGTTTATTTTAAAGCTAGTACCCAGAATATTTTTAAAAAAATAGTCAAACTCACTGTAGATATAGTTTGCCACCTACAAAACACAATAGCATAGTCTGTTTTTTCAATGTTACTGTAATTCCTGATTTAATCAAGACACAATCTACTCTTTCCAAAAAATAAGCTTCACACCTCAGGTGACATCACAAAGGGTATGGAGTACCAGCTTTCCATGTCATCTTGACAAGTTTGGGATTTGACTCCACAGAGAAAAATATTTTTAAAAAGTATGATTTAGCTCTTCTCTAGATTAATATATGCCTTACTTTGAGTTTCAAAATCTACAGTAAATAGTGAAAAATAAAGTGCGAGTCAGGAAAAGATTGTGCAAGCAGCCTGGAAGTCAGCCATTTTCAGGAGACCCGTAGCTTGTTTTACTCATTTGCCTCTTGTGATGTCATCAAGCCAAATGCACACAAATCAGAGTTAGCATTTTGTTTCCTCAGTGCCCTTTAAATAAAAAAGGTTTATTTTCTAAAGTCTTGTAGTTAGAATCCACTCTCCATTACCAAGCAATGTTTTTACATCGCTTAGTGAAAACCAATATGTAACTGGGGAGCAACTTTAATAGACCCAGTTATATTTTACGCTTTAAGCTGAAGGTGTGAACTGCTGCATGTTGCTGTTTGTTAACAGTTACATTCTTTGTTTAGCTTTAGCTAAAAACCTCATTGCAATGTCACTTTGTGGCTTTGCAGATTGTCTTTATAGTGAACTT